GGACGGTGCACCCTGTCCCCTCCAGCAACGACCAACTGTCTCCTGGAGCCAATATGGATGAGGTAGTGTGTAATAGACAGGTAGGCACCTTGGCAATATGCACATCCACCGCAGCCACACCGGGGATATCAAGCAACAGCGAATCACTTGAAACGACAAGATGGAATAAAATAAATCGAATTATGCATGGAGATATGGTGGCATAATCTTTTGTTAAATTAGCAAATGAAGTAAGTTATATATATATATATATATATATATATATATATATCGTGCTGATATGTATGTTTAAGTTAAGTTCCAGTAACTTATTGGGATTAATGGGTTGTAGAAGCTATGACATTTGTCCTAATGCGGTGTCAGCATTTTACTTTCGTAAATGCAATCAATGCAACGTCTATTTACTTGCGATTTAAGAAGTTAATACATCTGAAATGCATTTGACGAAATAAAACTGGGCGCTGCCCTCTAAAATATCGCTTATTAAACTTACATGCTCTATCGTGGCCACAAACAGCATGTAAATCCTACGCATTTGTACACCATGTGTAACAGTTGTGAATTTTCACCAGCCCTTTATTTTAATTCACGAACTGAGTAATTCTTTACTAAACTATGCAAAACAACAGTTACAAAAACAGCCGCTACACAACAACTGCCACTTTCCATTCGTCTGCACAAATTGCCCTTTGGATTTTACACGGAAGGCTTAGTCATAGAAATTGCTATGGAGAGGACAAGATACGGCGTACTTTCCAATATGCGGACTGAACAGGAGAAAAGTAAGCGACTCGCACCAATACAAGCGTCACACATCCAATACTCGTTGCTAAGCTTCCATCTATGCGTCCACAAGGGCAGAACTATTTGAGTTTAATCATGACTGACATGTTTGCGTGTACTCCAAATCCACACTGTTCGACTTGGCGCCGGCTAAAATACTAGCACATATTGTTCTGTCTGAATAAAGCCGGAATTATTGTAATGTTGGCAACGTTAATGAGTGACGACATTTGCTACCCAACTCTCCAAAACAACGACAGCTTGTATTCTGATGGCTAACCAGATGCATAACTGGGTTTCATGAAATGTGATAAACTAGCTACGCTGCAACAAGAACCGCATGATAAGTAGTGCACGTGTCCTTTTGTACGGGTACATTGGAGTCTTTATCATTCGATCTTTCAAGAAATGTCCGGACCACTTTATTCGCTGAAAATTTGGCCACATCCAACATCTGTTACCCAGGTAAAACTGGAATCTAGTCGTTTAGAATAAGTAACGCCAGTCGAATACCTGCTTGGAAGATCATTCCATATTCAGGGTAGAAGCGCCGGGTACTGTTGGAGCCACTGCTGTTGCAGTTAATCTTGAACTCCAATACTTGGCTTCCGCAAATAAATGCGTTTTAAGGACCCTTGCTTTCAGGGTTAGAGAATTATCTGACTAACATACTAAATTTTCATCAACATTTAAACAGAGTGGCCGCCTACTATCAGATGCGATCCTTTCGGCCTCACATGTCCATTCAAACCTTCTTGAGATGTTTTACTATCAGTAAGTAGCGTAGGTTTCAAAGTAACTAACTTTTTTGTTTCATTTTTGCATAGTTTGCAACCCACTATATCTAGTAAAAATTTCGTTAACTGGTTTTGTATGAAGGATGTATTCGTCAACATGGAGACGTAAATAACCCTGCAACTAGAAGGAATACATCCCTATGAACCATTACTACAGCTCATAACGTGCGCGTGTAAATCCTACATTAATACTACGAAGAACTGTTGGGTCATTTATGTCCCCAATCGATTTGCACAAGTTCCTTTCTAAAACCATAACAACTAAAACCGAGCTTCAACGCAGCAAGGAGAGCAGTGCACAATAAACAACGTATTCCTATATCTTGATGGAAAATGGAAACCGCTTGCTGAGGATATGTTCTCTGATTCCACCGAGTTTTAACCGGTCTGACAGGGGTCAAGTTGGAAACAAAATGTTCCCTTTATAATTCCGAAGCGTAAAATTAGACGTAAATTTTTGAGCTTCCGTCGCTACTTTGTGCATTCTCATAAACCACAAACAGGCAACAGAGAGAGAGAGAGATAAAACGAAACCGTCACGAGTTATTTTTCAGGTGTGACCGCATTATGTAAGTCAAGGGAAAATTCAGAAGTGCTTCAATAGAAAGAGCATACAGTGTGGCAGAACTGCATCTGTTCAAGTCGAGGAGACCTGTGATTAAATTTTTGATTAGGACACAGACAACTGGGCAGTGCATCTCTCACTATCTGTACGAATTCCATGTAGCTATACAGACAGTTACATTGGGCACACTGAAAGACTTTTAGGTGTAAGAATTGACAAACAATTTGTTACGTGTCCGGATGAGATCGGTGACGAGAATCGGCTAAAGCGGGAAATTAAGCGACCAGTACATCTAATAAACGCTTAATTATTACCCGCAGCAGGGTAAATCCAGATGAATTTTTCATGGTTTTACTGGGTAATCAGCGGCCCCAAATTAGTAGGCTACCAGGAGCGTGGTTTTTGAAAACGAAAGCCCAACGCTGTGTATTCGCAAACAGCTGGTTCTGGACCTGGAGGTTTCTTGGTAGCGCAAGCACTTGGCCGGATACGGTCTTGTTTGTCACTGTTTTGATTTTTTCAATGTGGTATGCTTGTTAACGCACGAAATGGCTAGGTAATGTCACAAGTCATGTCTTCTGATCTTCCTGTCTGAATCTCACAACTATTTCATCCTTTGGACCTACCATCATGTTTCATCTGACAGTCTGAAGGCTTCGCGTAAATATGTGGTGCATGCAACTGTATAAAACGTAGCGTTGAATTATCAATTTCAGCTCAGGTTTCGCCACCGACAGTTTTGTTCCCTAATTCTTTTATGGTGTTGGTTTAGTGTTTCTCTTTTGAAGACCGTTAGTGTTGCTTAACTGCGCCTATACTCGTTGTACCCGCTTAGCAACTTTGCTTTGCTTGTCTACTTAGTTCTACCATTAAAAGTGTACAAGTTGCTGTCAATCAATCGAACCAGAACAAACAAGTTCCAGCACAAAAATCGTTACGTTATCTGGAGTCAATAAAAGTTAATTAACTCTTTGATAACCTACAAGAATTGTCAAAATGTCCAACCACACAGTATTCTGTAAATACTCATCACTTCATTTGGAGCCGCAGGGATAAACCTACTAGGTTTGGTACCTTTAAGGGAAGCAAAACTTCGCTGCCTACGTGATTCCACGGTGAATGGTGGCCTAGAATATTGTGGGCTTGTTCTCTCTACTGGGAACAGAGATTGAATGGTTGATGTATGTACGGTAGACGTTATCGGCGTTTGCGGGGCAATTTCACAATAATTCAAAAAATTTCTCAGCGACCAAAATTACCTTTACCGGTGCCATGTGAAACAGTCATAACCTTGGCCAACTTGGCCTCAATTCGAAATCGGCAACACCGTTTATCAATTAGGACTTCATTGCTGTCCCAGCATACCGACCATGATACGTCATACCAAACTGCATAGAGCATATGTCACAGTATCCGACTCAAAAGAGGAGACAAACCAACCGTTTCATTACGAAGGAGTAGTAGTGAGAGTTGAATGGTGTACGTAGAACTTCGTCACATCTGGACTCGGTTATTCAGCCGTCTCACACCCGGGAAAGCATTTTAAGACCGTTTCATTCTTTCGGAAATCGTCAGCTCAGTGATCTCAAACACAGACTGGTAACAGTCTGGTTTCGAGTCCCAGCCCCACACTGATCCGATGGAAAGGGCACTGCTGACGATTCTCGAAAGGATTAAACGACCCTGCACTGCTTTTCGTGATGAGTGACTTCTGCCTGACTGAGTCTAAATGTGATGAATTTCCACCTGCAGATATCGTGGGTGGACCCAGGGCTAGATGCTCGTGAAACTAACGAAATCAGGTGCACATTACCAGCGTGGATCGGCCTGTAATTGGCGAGGCAAGCAAGTAGTAATTTGCGGCATGCCCCGACAATATGGCATGTGTACGATTGGTCCCGTACGCAGACGACCAATTATGATAGAAGTGATGGCCAAGAAAGATGTAAACGGGCAGGCAACATACAGTCGGATGACCTAGAATAAGGCACAGATGAATGGAACCATACGGAGAACTGTTTCCATCAATAAATGCAACCATTTTCTGCTTTGGATATACATCCAGTCAGCTGAGTCTTATCCCCTACCACTTCTGTCGGGATTAGGACAACAGACCATGGACAGCGAAGCAACCTTGTAACATATTATCCACCTTCTTCCTCGTGATGCAATCTGGAAATGTATATTTCCATTGATGCGAATAGTCTGTTACCGGTGAACCAGCACGTGCATTAGTTTGCTGCCGCATCTTCGCGATTTATCAACTTACTTTGATAATCGCACGTAACAAGTTTTACGTTAGTCTTTTTGTCCTAGGAACGCATTGGGTCCTTACCCCGATCATCTGTTCACTGTTTGAGCACAAATGTCACGTAATTTGTCCTACTGTCCAAATACATTTTTATTGAGCAGACAACTTAGATACCCATAGAGGCTATGATATTTTTGCAGACATGACGGGTATTGAAAACTTATTATGATTAAAACTCAAAAAACTGCCGGTTGTATTGAGCAAGTTGTTCTTGTACGGTAAGCAGTAATGAGGTCAATATATTGAGAATCCAATGTCTCGTGGTCATTACAGGCTGCTTCGTCATTCTGAACATCATTTGGTATCAGCATCACTATTCTTGCTTCGAGCGAAATCTAAGAGCTAACGGCTACTCAAAAGAGTTGAAACGAGAAATCCTCATCAGTTTTACTAGAGCTGCAATCTTCCGCACTTACACTCTCAACAAATAGTCAAACATCATTAGTTAAGCTTTAAAGTACTTGCCACACGTTAATTCACAGCCAGAATTGCATGCTTTTCTAGACAGCACAACGTGTACTATGCTAACGGAAATCTATCTTACCTTGTAAAAAACGATGCGGCAGCTGACTTTGGAGAAAGTTTGATTTGAGAACCGGGATCCGACAAATGTCTCGTCTCACATAGTGTTTGCGCGATATACCTGCTTTCATCTTCAACTTCTTTGAGCATGCCATCTGTTTTCTGGACGACCGAACTCGCTTCATTGTCATCGCTCGACATTTTCATCGGTTTTATGCTGGTCGTGGAGTAAGACTTGGCTGCGAAATGTGGTTGCATTTAGAAAAGAAAAGTTACTTTTGTCAAGTCCTGTACATAAACGTTTACTACTTTTCAGGATAAAAATTTATAGAAGGGTTAGGTTCTATCAGCAGCTGGTCACTGGTTTAAGATCAATATAACTTCCAAATGACATTCCTAGTACATTGGTTGGCCTAGCCAATAACCATTACAGAGATGCTAGAAACAAGATGCCTTGGACTAGTATCAAATGAAGCTTGACAGGTGTTTGTAAATTTACCTATCTAGAACATTTTTAATTAACGTTCTTTCACATAAAGGCCAGTGAGGTTTAAATTGGAAATCAAAGTGGTAAACTTGTACATCTATGTGAGTAGAATGCATTTAGCTTTATCAACGAAACGTTATCGATCGATTATGATGCGCAGACTGTTAGACGCATGTAGATTGATAAATCAGGCTAAAAGTATCCAAAAAAGACAGAAACTAATATGCATGTAAACTAACCACCTTAGTCAGAAAGCTTGAAGAGCTGGAAGATCATTAGAACTGATAGCCGGTATTAAGGCGAGGCCCGGATTTTGCTCACGATCACCCCACTATACGAACAGAGTACTTGACCCACGATGTAGCCTACAGTATGTTCGTTTGAAATAATTTTAATACATAAGAAGGCGGTCCATTAAGGTATAGGCTTTCGTTTATTCTTTTCATGAAGCAATTCCGAAATAATAAGAAACCGGCTGAAAAACACATACAGCGTGTATAAGGCAACTTATTAAAAAACTGCATTATTTGATGAACCTCGATATTTGGAAGACTTGAAAAAATTGAGCCAACCATCATCCTCTCATTTAGAGGCAATTGCCTGTGACCAATTGCACAGACCGGATTTATGGGTATTGAACAATAAACTGTTTGAAAAAAGGCAGTAAGAACATGATCAGAATCCAGGTTTACTCCAAAAAAGCGACACACCTGAACCAATATGCAACATCTGTTGTGATGGCGATATTTTCAGTTTTTGTCCTATTTTTCTAGGGATTCGGTTGGTTCCCTGTCAGATGAGACACAGTGCTTCTATCCTTAAGATTTCGGTTAGAACTAATTGCAAGAATCGATCACCATTGCCTGTTAAACCTTTAAGGTGTTGTTCAGGGTCCGGAAAACGACCCATTTGTGCATTCATGTCACCATTAAAAAACGTAGCAGGTTTCGTCTTTGGTACCACTTAACTGTATTCGCTTGGAACATAAACAGTGGAAATAAAAGAGTACCTCTTTCTCAGACAGTGTTTATTTAACCCAGATAATCTCCGATGTCAAAGTGCGCGTGTCTAACCGTTCAAGTGTACCCAGAGATACCGCTGACACCTAAAATGCCTTCTGTCACACCGTCAGTATAATCAGCGAGTCAAAATTTGGCCATTTTGGGCAGATTCGGAGCCAGGGGGTCGAAGATATGCCAAGTGCGGGTTTAGGAGACATAACACACATCGCGGTGCAAAAAGGAGTGAAGTGGGAGAGCTAGTACTGACTGTTGGCCGCGTTGACACGGAGGCCGGCCTTCAAACCAATAGGTATGAAATTAGACCCTTCATTTGTAGGCCTAGTTACATGCATAGATAGCACCAGCTACAAATTCACCGAGAGTCCGGTGTTCAGTATACGGGAAATAACAAATACAAGGATAAAACGAAAAAGGAGTTTCTGTAACGAGAGCTAGAGAATACTTTCCGATAATGCATTTCGAAAGTGTGGCTTTTTCTTGGCCCAGTTTACCTTAACTTTTGACACATTTTCGTGACGCACAAGGTAGTGGAGTAAATTGTGAAGCAATTAAAGGACTCAACCCGACTACTTTAACCCAATAGAGTCATGCAAGTGCTGTGCATGTAATCCAGATAGGAAATCTGGTTCCAGTCTCCTTCTGAGATTTGCTTGAGGCCAGGTATATGTAACCTTTGCATGTCTTCTTCGACCGTATCGTTTTACGCACCCGTGACTGGGATCCATGGTAGGTTGGAGGTAGCAAGTTTTATTTTAAAGATCGGCGGACAGCTGCTAAAATTAGGTGGTTGCAAACTGTTGAAACGCGTAGTGCTGTTCAAGCGCCAGAGAATAACAACTGTGGTGCATCCACTCTACACCCAATGATTGGGCTTGTAAGCATTATATTTTCGTCTCCCAGTAAGGTTACTGAGACAGTCCTTTCTTATATGAGTGGCTCTTAGATCTGCCACTCAGTGTAGCCGAATGTGTCCCAGAGGTAAACTAACCATCCCACCACCTTATGACCATACTGAAACGTTGGATCGCAACTTTTTACGTTTGGTTTTGATTTAACTTAGCTTTGTGCGGAACGGCACGTGTAAGGGGGCATTTGAGTATACCCGCACTGACATACTGCTACTGAACGGTGCAAAGATACACGGGCAATGATTTCAGAGTAACTGTCGCCTTGCCAATGCGGGTTACATGCATTTGGATGCATCACCAATGAAATCGAGTTTATACCAAATCACAAGAAAATGTCTGTTAAACACACCTCTGGGTAGGTTTCATCTCACCCGTCTGGGAAATTCTTGTGCCCGCAAAAGAATTAACATGCAAACAAACTAGGTCGCATTTGCCAAATTTCATTCTTCTTCCGCAGGTCAAAGGAAAGATTGATATCATCTTATCGTACTTGTACTCATGGAGAGCGCTTATAGATAATTGTGGCGAACGGAAACGGCAGATTCAAACTAGAAAGTTGAAGAGAAAATTCATAGTTCAAAAAATGAAGGTTTTGCTTGTTACTTTTCTTTTCTCAACCCAACCTCCATCTATACCTCTGCGGCATACGCATGTATTTGCGAGCCGGTAGTAAGTTGCAAACTAGGGAAATACTCACGAAACGCATATGAAATTAGAAGGAATGTAACCATCTCGACACTGCAACAACAGCTGCTTGAAAGCAAGTTAAGTACTAGGGTAGAGCAATAAGCCTTCGGATGCACAACTTTTAGTTTTACAACAAACTAAGCACTACATTTTCTCGAAGTACTCTCCGCCAGCATTCATGCACAGTTCCATGCGCTCAAACCATTGGAAGAAGCAGCTAGACTTCACCGACGTGGGTAACCTTTCAAGAAGGTTATTAAAAGACTCTACCTCAGCTTCCGGCGACTAGTATCAGGTTCCACGCATCAAGCCCTTGATATTTTGGAATCCCAGTTACACGATGCGAGAACAGGACTGTAAGGTGGGTGACCGAACTCCTTGATGAGTCCCCTAGTCAGGAAATCTATGACGTCATGGACCTGTGTGCAGGTGGGTTGTCAAGTTACAGTGAAGTCCCTTGTGCTCAAGTCCTTGGACGACGTCTGGCTACAACGTCTAGCAGTTGTGGCAGACAGTGGGTGGCATACCAGTTTTCGGTAACTGTGTGTTGCCGTAAGGGTGTTATAGTAGCTACACGATTGGTCTTGGCCACAAACACAGCCACAACTGCTTCACCACACTGCGCCCAATCCAGAATTTCTAAGGTGGCGCACACAGTCCAATGAGCCGGTTCTTGCTTGGTCTCTGGGTCGAAACTGTACACCGAGGTCTGATTACCGATGAGGATCCCCAAACAGCATTGGAACGTCCAGTATCAAATCTGGCAACTATGGTGCGACACCAATTCACCCGAGCTGTTCTCTGCCCCGCTGAGCTGATGGGTTACCCAACGTGCGCAAACTTTTCTGAGGCAGAGGTTCTCATGTATGTTGGAGCAGATTGATCCCGATGAGATCCTGATGGTTTTCCTCAGCTGTACCATAGTCACGCGCATATCCTCTTCCAGCGTGGCTTGCACGGTAGCAAAGTTGTCCGCAGTAGTATCCTCAACAGGTCAACCACACTGTGCTCATCATCCACGGATCGCAACCCAATTAAACACAATGCTTCTTGAAGGCGCGGCAAGACACAGTAAGTAAGCGCCCGACACACTGGTTCTGCTTTAAACCGCATTTTTAGGCATGGAAAATCATTGCTCTCCAGTGACCGGTTGAGTTATCTACTTACAGTTAGAGTATAGCGACGTTTATGAACTGTGAGCTGTGCTGGGTTGCTGACATAGGGCGGTGTGAGTTGAACTCACTGAACAATGCTTAGAGTGGATTACGCTTCACGTTTTCTCGCCAGGCCATCGGCACTAATCTATGTACTGTGTAGACGGGAAATTATTGCGCTGCCCTCGTACAAGCTAAACAGGTCTGTCAAGTTAAGGAAAGGGGACACCACCATACGCGTCTTGGATTTATGATTTATCCATTCTGATTTGAAGTAGCAACTCAGTATTTATACAACCTTAAGTCTATCTCACAGGGAATGGTAGTTGGTTCTGTTGATGCGTTGCAATGAAGCCTTACGCGATGAAATGATCTGATTATGGGCCACAATTGTTGCACGCAACTGCTACGATGGAAGATCATTCCATAAAGCTTTTCGAAGCATAATGAAGTCAGAAAAGGTAAAGTGATCGAAAATTACATGGTAGCGGTAATGCTCCCTCATTTAGTTCGTTTCTCTAGGGCATATAGGCGTTGTTTGGATTGCTTCAAGCAAGCAATACCTTTTGTTATTCGGCCAGGGTTTTATCCTCCGGCCTCCACACACAACTGGTTAGTAGAGCACAAGAGGGATGAAGCTGTTGTTATGCGGGCTCAATTTTGGTGGCGACTCACGTAATACAGCACAACCAACTAGAAGATGGTACCTGCCTAGCTGTTGAAAAATTTCCTTGTAGTTGAACGTGAGGTACTTTCAAGTTACGTTGTTTATACTTGAAATCATTCCATCATGTCCTGCAGTTGCAGCCTTAGCGGGTTGAACTGGATAGCCTAGCTTGACCATTGCTACAGCATACACTAATTTAGTTGTACAGAAATGTTTGAAATTTTTATTCGTTAGGATAACTATCACTTATGTACGGTAACTTATTTGTTAACTGGATGGAAT